AATTTCACACTGTCTAGACACATGTTGTAGATCCGCAATGCGTTTCTTCTGTCAGTGGGTACACTTTTTTAATACTAATATTTTCATCAAAAAGAATTTAAGGTACATTTGAACCGTCAACATTACGTCTTGTAAGACGATAACTCACCGCTACTGTCGAGCACAGCGTCTAAATATTACATTAGAAGACATCTCGAACGGCCTGACGTACTTTACTACCAGCATTAGTGAGTTAATCGTCAGATAGCCCACAACTAGGTTTTTTGTGCTTTTGAAATGGATGTAAATCAGAACAATTATTAAGTATTAACCATGGCTGATTATTAACACATTAACACAACGTGAACAGCTAAAGAAAAGGGTAATATGATTTTGTTAATGGTTAGTCTTTTATAACTTCATTAATAATGCGTCTTTGCCCATTTCCGGTGAATCTCCATTTCAAAATTGGTTAATGCTATCGGAATGCAGGAATATCATTCTGGCTATTACAATAAAGACGTCCATTAATTACCCATTAAGCGTTAAGGCAAAAATCTTGACATGGCGTCAATTATTCTAATGTAAGCTGATTGGGTTAAAATCTTGCTGCACCGTCCATTAACATCCATTAACACATTTTAGTTAAGGGGATTAGATTAGTGCTGGCATAGTAGACCTGTTTATCCTTTTTCTGGTCCCTTGATAATACTGTTGCCAAAGCTCAGACAAAAAAAAATATAGTTGACATCTGTAAGACGTGCCAGCGGACTGTGTTTTTGTCTTTTAAATGTTCTGTTGATATACAATTATGCTAATTATATTGTTCCAAGGATAAATTTATTTTCGGGTATATCAGTAATATTCTATTTGGTTCATACTAAGACAAAACAAAAAATCTTAAGAACAGTCGCGAAATGAGACACAGTGAAAGACTTAAACTTAAAAATGATGGAGTATTTACTTGGAAAATGCTCGTACCAAATAAACATTTTTTTTCATAATCGAGAGTAACATTCATAAGTATCTATTATATCTGCCCTTTATAAGATTAGGATCAATCTTTGGAAATAGTCCCTGTGTATAGAAGATTGAGCCCTAGAAAACAAGTTTGGCCGACACTGATTGGCTAGTAAATTATGAAGTTCCAAAACATATATGTCATGATAGGTAATGATTCATAGATAATAATGAAATAAATTTGTTAAGTCTGATTTGAAGTTTTGTCCAAAATTCAACTTCAAATAATAAATAGGCAATAATAGGAGTTTTAAGAAGTTCCACCGTGAAATTCATCTTGTTTCAAAAATGCCCCCGCCACTCTTTAGAAAAAGTTTGAGGCGAGTGACCTCCTTCTTTTTATATGAGACCCTAAACGTTTGTTATAGATCATAAAAGCCAAATTGAATTCAACAATTCTAATGATTATTGATATAACCCAGAACATTAACACTGAAGTCTATGTAAAATTAATTTGTTGGTTGGTCTCTTTAATCCCCCACTCACAACCCCAAGGAAAAAATTATTTAGTTGAAAGGATTTACCATTATGACAACATAATCCTAATTCAAACTGAAATCCCATCAAACTTTGTTTTCGATGAAGTTTAGATTAAAGAATTGGGAGATGGGTGTGGGAGTAGGGTGGGGATGTTGAGGTGTTGAGAGCAATTAGTCTGTTAGAGCGCTGACGTACGGCACATTGGATGCCACTAGACATCCTAATACGTACTGAACGTTCGGTATTAATTATACAGAGTGTAGACATTGTGAAGGACTATTGTTTGAATTTTCTTTCGATCATTTTCGATTTTCCTCATTTGCCCCCTGGGTTTCAAAACTTAGGCTCATAGCATCACTTGCAAGTTCTAGAAGGGCGAAACAGCTGTATGATGCAGTTCAGGTCATTGTTTGGCTCTACTGTATATAATTCTTAACCATGAAAAGGTGTTATTTTTGTCTTTTGAGAAAAGTTGAGAAGTTTTTAAACAATGAATTTTTCCGGACAAGTCTTAACTTTAGACAAAATCTGATTGGCGCAATTAAAGTTAAATTAACGTTATATTCAACTATCACCTGCTAGTAAATTTTAATGCAGTGAAAGAGTTAAGGAAATTGCCATGGGTGGTTTGTGTTTCTACAGCATAAGTATGTACTAGACCGCCATTGATACAACGGTTGGACCCTGCTTTCAATATAAAAATCATAACGTACATAGTTTTATATATTCTGCTTCATATAACACAAGCTCTGTGCTTCAAACGTCAATTTAAAATACTGTAAACCCCAGACAACACCAAATTAACCAGTACGCGAAACGTTAAGTAAGGAGACATCTTGATGTATCTAAGCTGTTCTGTGTTATATTGGTAATGATGAATTCCAAGATGTACTAGTCTTGAATGACGATGGCCGTCCTATCTCGCAGGCAGATTATCTATCATTCTGTCAAGCTATAAGTACTTCTGTCCACCTTCACTTAAAGCCGAGACCGGTAAGCCGGACCTAACCTGATTTCCATGACAGGCTTTCCTAGTGCAGAGCTCCACCATTTCTGATCAAGACGTCATTGTCAGTATATATACATTTGATCTGTAATTCATCTTTGATCAACAGGATACTATTCTGTATATAATTGTAAGGCAGTTACAATTCAGTAGAAACGTCATTTGACACATCAATTATTCAGCCTGTTGTTGTTTAAACAGTCACAAATTAGGTTGGTTCGGTACTTAGCCAGTAACCTACGTGGAAGGATGATTATATTTTCATCAATTGCCCCAAGAATGTTTCTTAACTTTTCATTTAATTGAAATTGGAAGAAAAGTCTTGCAAGCAATAAGGAGATATGAGGTTGGTTTGTATTTGTTCCTAAATAGAATTTACTTAATTTCATAAAACATGCTTAACTTTTTTCAATAACAAGGATATAACATGAAAACAATCAGATGAGCACACAAATTGGATCTAATATGTTGTTTAAGACATCAACAATCAAACCTTGCTGAAACAAGGAAGGTAATGGAAAAGTCGTCAGTTATAAGCATTATAATAAACATTTCTCAAGATGAGACAGCAGATGACCGACGATATAGAAGAGAAACCTGGAATACGCGGCTGACAGACCAAAAGATCTCGAAAATAAACCACCTAAAGATAAGCCTATCCTGCAAAATAAGCATGTGGATTCTTACACAAAGGGATCCGGATTTGCTTACTCTTTATGAAAATGTTCCGCATCTTATTTCCAAGTTTTTAGTGTTGACGATACTATCTTAAACGTAGACTAAAGAAACAAAACTTACAAATACATGTTGATTGAGGTGTTTAAGGCAGGTGTTATACATGGAAAATATATTTTACTGTGGTGATATCGGGAAGTAGTTAAATTATCAAGATCAATTTGTGGTTCTCCATTTCTCTTAAACTCGGATATGCGGCAGTGCTGCATAAACAAACCATTAAACAACGAATTTCTTTCTTATCTAATATATATTATCACAAAGACCGTGCTTTTTGCCACCATCCGTCACGACTCCTTCATAAGAAACATCGATCTAGGGTTTTATGAAGTGCTTACTGACATGTAAAAACAATCTTATACTAAACTAAATGGCGCATTAAAATTTTTTAACGATGATACTAAATATATATATCACCGAAACAGTAAAATGAAATGTTATGGTGCTAAAGGACATAATATTACCCATTTATGTTCAATGTGGCCGCTCTCAGGGGGTCAAAGATACACAATGACTAACGACTGGCACAAGGGTATTCGTTGACTTTGTATTTTGTAATTGATGAGACATCGCGACAAATAGAAACCGTGTAATAACAGTAATATCGAATTAGTTATAGATCTTATGGCCAACAGAAAACATTTTTTTTTTGCGATTCAAGAGAAACATTGTATTTATACATAAGCACCAAATGAAAGTAATCCGATGCTAATGTAATTAAATTTCCGTTAGTACCAATGTAATTGACAGAGGTAGTACAGAAAAAAAAAACTATGCGCAAAGGCATGAAATAAATTGTTTAAAGTCATTGACATGTCAAGCCTGAGAAGCGAACGATTTTCGGATAATTTAGGCTGTTTGTGCTCCGTCTGATAGCTGAGCAATGACTATAAAGCTGCGAAACATGCGGTGTTTGTTAGTTACATATATGTAGTGTGCCTACGTATTTGGATAATGCCTCCAACTGATCACCTACCGCCCGCCTACCAATTATGTTGAGTGAAAGGAAACGTGATAGATGGATACACAGGGTGACCATTAGAGGTGACAGACTGTGATAATACCACGGAATCCAAGCTGCTTTGGGACAAGTGACCGATACATGGCAGTGACACAACGCTGGGCTCTACTGCTGGGGTCTGTTCAGTGATAACACGATACTCAATCGATAGACTACGAGTCAGGTGGGATAGAAACGAAAAACGATTACAACTTATTTACTGAAAGTAAAAGATTCACACACGGGGCATCAAGGCAGCGTTCTATTTTGGAATTACCTGTCAACATGTGGGCTTATTGTGGTTAAGTATTGTTTATTCCAGCTGAGATTCGTTTAAATTCACAACAGCAGAACATGACGTGAGTACATTCAATCGTGAATTAATCATGAATATATTTAATAATGATGTAAGACACTTTTGTAATAGAGTTTCAAAAGGAAAAATTATTGATCTGTTTTAACTTGAGTGTAGAAAAACAGTCTGTTGATTTCGATATAATGCGAGGCAATACAATTATCTCTGAGGCGACCCGACTCATATAATACATTTAATATACGTGATATGTCATGCACTCAGAGTAAAGAAGAATAATGTACAAATGTGAAGCAGGTCAGTGAAGTGTTTTCTATATACGATGTCTGCAGTCAATGGTGGGCTTTGTTACCAATTTCCTGCGGAATTAACATTTACATGAAAACAGTGAATACTTTTGAAAAGAGACCGCCTGTACTGCGACTTTGGGAATAAGACCAATTTCCGGGACATTCTGATCACAAATGATGGACATCACTACGTCGTATACCAACCAGACAAATGACACCTTCATAATTCCAGGAGAAGATTATGTTCGTTTTCTAAACATAATTGTGTTTTTAGAAGCGTCGATGTGTGTTCTAATAGTAGTTGGAAACGGGTTCATAATAACCTTGATAGCACGCAGAAGGTTGCTTGGAAGGTCTACAAATATATTTGTGTTTTCGATTGCAACGGCAGATTTTCTTAATGGAATTTTGTCAATTCCAGCACATGTGCTATTTCTCGTCGTAGGAGGAGATTCAACAGTCTATCTATGCAAATGTCACAAATTCGTTATGTATCTAACGAAAACCGTTGTACCGTACACAATCTTATTCATGACAGCGGAAAAAACCATGAGAGTTTTGTGTCCAACGAGAGAGATAGTTACTGTAGCTAGGTGTATGTTCTTTACCAGTTTGTGGTGGTTTTTCAGTGCGGCCTTTAACATTTGGAGCGTAGTGTTATTTACGAAAGGAAGCGTTAATATTCTCTATAAGGAGGTTTCCTCATATCAAATACCAAGTTGTGTTCTTAATTCCAGGTTCATCGACTTACACACCGCTTTTCTTCTAACAGATGTCATTATTATTTTTGTGATACCTACTTTTGCAATACTAGGAATATATTGTGTGCTAGTCCGAAATTATTTCACTGTTCTGAGAGAGAGAATTTTAACTTATTTCTATGTGATAAAACTATTTATAGCACTCTTTATAACTTTCGTATTGTGTCATCTTCCCTTAGAGATATTCACGTTTCTTGACAGTAGACAGGGATCATTTACGTTGTTGTATGTGTTGGCTTCTAATTTCGCCACTTCGCTGTATTTCACTCGAGGTATATGGAATCTACTTATATATGCCTATTTCAAACACTATGTGTGTCGGAAAAGACAATTTTCAAGTATCCGAGCAAGCGGAGCCTTTCGTGAAGGAAGCATGGGGCCCTCTTTACGGCAGCGACTCAGACCTAGAAATCGATGATTTTACATTACCACGATCTATTTCATGTTTCTTGAATTAAAACAACACCATTTGAAATAGTATTATTTGATTTATTTTAATACTTACCAATGTATTTGGATCAGAAATATGGAAAAAATTGGGTTTCACAATAACAATTACTTAGTAATTACAAATTGTATTTGCTTTTTAATTTGCAATAAGGCGGTACAAAACACGTAGTATTTATAGGTCTTTCATATCTCGATGAATTATGTTTGATTTAAACCACACATTTGTTTATGTTACATGTAGTTCTTAGTTGTACATACTCATATTGAATGTGATCAGCGTCATCGTTCTGGCTAGTAATGATACCAATGTCAAGTCGGGTTTCCGTGTAGCTCAGTGATATTTGGACTCCAGAGAGTAAGCGATCGTTCCTAGTGATTTTCTCGGCCTTCTTACATTATTCTTAATCAATTGACAATGTTCGGTTTTATAAAGAAACGTCATCGTGTTCCGCAGAATAGGTTTTACTTATCGAAATTATCGGTATTTCAGTTGAAAATTTTCACGACCAATTGTTCCAAATTTCTCAGATCAGTTACATTTAAAGCAAAATACATCTGTTTCCGATAATGTTTCAAGGGAACATAAGAAAGGATGCTAAAGGAATGATCATAAAAACTCAAATATCGATGCATGCGTCAGTTGAAAATACTGTTTAGAGTTCAGATCAATGAGCACGCTTTGAAACACAACATAAATATATATCATTTTACATTTTATAAAAGAAATTCCGGACTCCTTTTGATGAGGACAGAATAAACTGGGTATAAAAAATCTTTGTACATACAACCGAAACTCCAGGGAAAAGGTAAAAAAAAAACCCAAACAAATAAACAAAATCATGACTGCAAGGAGACGACACAATGTACGTGTGGTGCCAAGTTTGAATAGCCATGTTGCTACAGAGAGCAACGTATCGATTCGTAAAAATAGAGACCAACTGGGACAACTAGAAGCAAAGGCGATAAAATTGATCAAATTAAGGAGTGAATGGGAAAAATCTAGACTTTTTTTAACATTGTGGTATGTGTTATAGCACTCATGACACCCATCCAAAAATTTTGTGACTGCCTGGACACGATAGCTAGGTCGAAAGTAAACTTTGAACAGATTTTGACTCTATATATAGCATATAAAACCCTAATTGCGATGCGTTTGTATTCCGAAATGGAATCGAGGAAAACGTGCGAAATGAATTGAATTACTTTTGTCTGCTACATTTATGCTCTTCGTTGCATTTATTCCATGTAAGACCAGCCAAAATTATGTCACACCTTTATTCATTTGGCGACGTAATCATTAGTTACTGTGTCTACATCAAAAGAGAGTTCTGAAATTTGGAAGCAGCAATATACTACTTTGACATTGTGCTTGTGCAACCATTTTTCGAGCACGTGTCCATTAACCTTGATACTTTAATGGAATCTGCATTCAAAATAATGAATAGCGATACGTGGGAGCAAATATTAGAAATCCGGAGTTATAACATCGGTATGTAAGTTTATATTTATTCGTTACTGGAAACCAGGTTTATTTTGATGCGCACACATCACTCTGTATTATTTGTAATATTTTACCAAAGTAAATCGGAATCAGGTTTGTGATATACGGTACAAGGATGCGATGGTGAAATTTCTGTGCGATAATTATGTTGCTCCATTTTGAATGCACGCGACCAATCGTCAAGAACATTAAATTAAGCATAATATACACGCCTGTAACTACCACGTATACCGGTAAGATACGCGGGAAATATTTGTTTGACAAGGTGGTCATAAACATTAGTTTTCATGTAGATGACGTTTTCTGTTTATAATAGCATACACAGTGTATTACGGAGCGCTACCTAAATCCGATGTTAACACTTATCAGATAAACGTATAGCTTCTGCATCTAAGAACGTCTCGATATATTAAAATGTTACTACATCTTATGAGTTTCCAGATTCCAATCTTACCTGCATGAATGTTTATCAAGGTAAAATAGATAATAGCTAATACTATACAAAGATTTCGTAGGATGGCCAGGAATGTCACCAAATAAACTCAGTATGTATTTGATTGTTCCGTAGTCACTCTAAGTGGATATCCTGTTACCTATACGAAATAAAACTTTTATTGTTTTGTGAAACGATTTTTAAACACGCTCTATGTAGACAGGAAGGGAAATAATCTCCTCAATACTTCGACTTTCGATGGGAGTCCCAAATGTCTCTTTTAAACCATGCCTGTATTGTCTATATTCAGACTTGCCTAGCTTGACTACTTTAGAGTTTAGGAGGCATGTGGAAAACGTTACTTTCGATTCAGGAAGTATAAACAATCCCCTGAACATGTATTCAAATGAAGTTTATAGGGGGAGGAATAAATTTTGATTTTTGTTGCTATTTGTTCATAAAACAAGTAACTTCCTGCCGTTTTGGGGTTTATTATTGTACCATCAGTCTGTATTTCGCGTTATTTACCGTCGGAAAGATTCTTTGATTGGACACGTTTCTGCTATATATGGGTACTCAGACGGTATGATGTATTCGATAAATAGCCAATCCTAGAAGAACCCACATTTCGTAACGATAATTTGATGTAGATGTCAGTAATTTGTTGTGTCGGAAAGTGGTCACCAACTCATGGCAATAAATATAAGATATTGATGGGTATGGGTCTTACTTGAATGAATGGACTAAATCTGGACTGCATCTCTCTATCTAGCAATTAGTTGTCAATCCAGTGTAATGTGTTGTACCAATCGGTAAATCACTATCATCGACTGATTATAAACATTAGAAAAGAAAACTATAGAAGAAAAACGTTTTGTATTTAAGTGTTCTCCTTTAAGTTAATTGAAAATGTAGCTAATTCTTTTAGTGTAGGAAAAGATAATTGATATTATTTATTCATAATCTTGAAAACAGAATACTTATATAACATTAACGAGATGGGATATGGTTTTATGCGATCTAGCGTGTTATTGTGTATGTTGTATGATGTTAAAAAATTCGACGATATGATTATTCAATGCTGTGTAATGTGAAAATGCCATTTCAACACTGACATACCTTTGCAATGGTATGTTTTACCTTTCAGCAAAGAACGATGTTCACGACTTAAAGACAAAAAGGCTCACAAGAGGCTAACCTCGTTTGTCTTTCTCCATCCGTGACAAAATACACTGATACTGACGACGTATTCTCTATAAATTCCACTGCATAAAAATGGTCAGGTGAAAAAAACTAAAAAGTTGTTAAAGACATTTTCAGAATTTTTGCACAGACTTCATTTCAAATTCATGATTGACCCTCCATCAAGGAATAAATTTGTTCCTTGTTAAGCAGATAGAATGTGATGGCTTGTCTGATAGAAATACCAGCAGTAATCACTCCTATACATGAACTGCGATAAGGAAAACGTATTCAAAATATTAAGTAGCTTCAGGCTCCAAGTCCCAGTGATAATCCGAACCTCTAGTGAAATACATAGTCTCATCCATCAATAGTATATTAACCTAATAGCTTTCCACGAGAGTATAAAAATATAACTACCGACCAATTCACTGACGTTGTTATCAAAGTTCATGTGGTAAGCATTAGCCAGACCGTGAGGATGAAATTTACCGATAAGTGCATATAATGAAAATAGCATTGAATTCAGTGATTTTACTTTTATCAGCCATCCACTCGATACGATATCAATGTATTTCTTGAAAAATTTTATTTGTCTGATATGTTGCTGATACATTTAGCTTTTTAAAAACTTCATACTTTGTGGCTACGACTTGAATATCTTTCAAATAACACTGACCAATGTATAACAAAAAGGTTATCTAAATCCATACTAAAATATATATTAGGTGTTTTCTTGGTCTGACGATAATGTTCTTTTTTACCTTTTGTTACCGGTTAATGAATAACATGGAGTTATACCCAATTACTATAGAATTCCTGATATATTTCAAAGGCATTTTGAATCGTGTTTAACAACATGTTTTCAATTTTTATCAAATAAACTCCATGTAATGTTTAAAACACGCCTTTTACTGGAATCTGTCTAGCACAGAGGAGCTTTTTTACCACAGTCTACAGTTTGTTGTCATGCCTTTTAAGATAACCTTGCAAAGCTAAAAACACTAGGAATTATCATTTGATATCCCTTTGTTTCATGGCAACAGACAGTTATGTCCTCACTATGTCGGCGATTGGGAGATGCCAGACAATGATTTATAGATAAAAAATCCGACAGTCAAATGACATCAGACAAGGAATATTTCATACCCCATTTTGATGGACTTAATCCGTAGTATACTTGGAAAAGTTTTGCCCACATTTTACATTTTCCCCCGTGTATGTTCTGTCAATAAACTGCGACTGTAAGTACAACTGAACGAAGATTTTTCCAGCGCCAACTGGATTTTAAACAAAAAGTCATATGCTGAAATGGCATCAAATGTAAATGCACTAGGGTTTTAACTCTTTCAAACAAAAGCGAAATCAGGGACTGTAACTACAACTTCATTAAACACTTTCTATCAGACAGTCATTGGGGATTGTACCTCCATATAACTACAATTACATGGGTCAAACTCAATCAAAGAAGGCAATCATCAGGGACTTCCTCGGGATGTTAACGCTACCAACGTACGTTACGTTGAATGCTTCTAGATTTAAAGGAAACAGTAAGTAGTACATATAACTGGTTACGAAGAAATTTGAAGAAAACAATGTTAGGTGGATCTCAGTAGTTTCTCCTTGCACCGTTTCAGGAAAATCCGTGTGAAACATTTCTTTTGTTTTATTTTACCATAGTTTTAATGAAATTGAGTTTTGGTTATTATTCTATTGGCATGCTGTTTTTTCTGTGCTGTTTTCATTTAGATGGCGAAATGACATATGTCAATGATAAGCATACGATGCATGTCCTCGTGACAACCACCAGCTTTACTGGTATGTACCAGAAGAGTAATATACTGAAGGACAT